ATGTCAAAAATTATAACAGATAGGTACTAAGGTACTGTAATGAGACAGGGTTGATTATTATACCACTCACCTTCACTCAGAGTGAGATCTCCTAAGGGCTGATTCTACAATGAAGGTATATACCAAGAATAAGCTATACCTAGAATAAATGTCGACGGTTGCGTTGGTTACAATTGTGTCAACCAATGAGATACATGTTGCTATGGCAGTTATTCCAAGGATGTCTTATTCTGCGTAAAAGTGTAATTGTAAAACCGGCCCTAAATGATCGTGTTAAGACCCTAGATTTTACATTGTGTCTTGTAGTATTTTAAGTTACAATTTTAGAGGTCGTCATCTGTCGCATCTTTTATTTGAAGTATCACAGAGACAAATTAAAAACATCACGGCATCTTTAAAGCTTTATTCTTTAAATCACAATGCCTGATAGACAATACAACCAGATGTCACAGGTTCTAAGCTATTGTGACATTAGCACACCGTGGTGCCTGAAACCGTGTTAGGTTTCTTCGAACGTAGACAATGGTGGCATGCCCTAAACTAACGGCACCACCTTTCCACTTTACCGCGAGAAGCCTCCTGCAACGACATCACTGACCCTTCATCTTTTGGGTCAGAATTTATTGGCTTTGTATGCCATTTAAGTTTCACGGTCACCAAAGCTGGATACCTAGGAGTTGGTGAGTGTGAAGCCGTATGCCAACTTCTTTTTCCTTGCCTGAGGCCCTTAATTTTCGATCTACTTACAAGCGAGCGCATAAATTGCAGTACTCCACTACCAATTGGCCACGAAATCACGGACTGGTATTAGGACCGAAAAGTCCTGCGGTCTCTCAAGCGCAGTCAACATTCCAAAATCAACTTAAACCAGTAGAACTTCCTTTGAAGGACTTCAATGCATATTCATGAAGTGGTAAAATTAAAATATAAGTCGGTTATAAGAGAAGCAATCAAAAGGATCCCTTCGGCTAGTTAAATTTAATCTAATTTCCTAGTAGCTTGCGTAATTGGTAACCTTAACTCCAATTACAAAAAATTGATGATCGAACGCATTCACAAGGGCTCAATTTTAATTAATCATAAGTAAGCACAATGTGTAATTTTGACAACATTAAATTTAATTCGTTGTTTGGACCACGCCACCCAACGACGGCATGTTGCACCCATTTCGAGGAAATTAGACTTGTGACTTATATACAAAAGCGATATTAAATTACGTAGGCCATTCGATTATTCAATATAAATGAAAAGATTCTTCTTTGCAATATTCCTATAATGGATTCAAACTCCATATAATTAACAATTGTCTGAGGGCCAATTGCACCTTAAAAATTAAGTATCCCTTAAAGTTAAGCATCACTTAAATACCATAGCAACGATTGTCTTAATAATCGTTGCCATAGATTTTAAGTTCGACTTAACTTTAAACAAGGCGTAATTTTGTTGGTGCAACTGGGGCTGATTACATTTCACTCCTACAATTCATTGATTGTGTACATTTTTAGTAAAGCTCTGCACATGGAAGTACCACATTGCTTTTTTTTTACCAAGTAAGTTCCTGAATTAAGTTGCAAATTTCTACATTTTTCCTCTGTCAATGTATGCCCGAACGCTTTCTTTACAAGTTCTTATATCCATTCATTAAAAACAACATATAACAATTAGCCATGCTAGAAACGTAAATTTTTCGCCTTTATTACTTTAGTCGCATACGGACTAACTCTGTTTTGTTTTAAACTGGTTTATACAGAAAAGGGCACGTTACGCGCGATACAAGGACCACTTATAACAGGCGAACCGTACTTTCTTACGTCCGCTCTGTAGCGGGTTGTGTACAGAAAGGCCTTATGTTCGCCTTAGAATTTTTATTACAGACTTTTGTAATTATTTCTTCTGTTTAATAACAAATTTGTGTAATCTAATGCTTATAACTATGTTTTATTATTGGTTTCTTTTTAGAAGTAAAAGCTACTGGACAATCAAATCTCTCAAAGGAGATTTCTGTCAAATACACACTTTATATAAAACTATAAGGCTGGATGTAAAATTCAACACAATGAATGGTATTGTTTCCGAATGTGCTCTACACGACTGCATATTGGGTAATAAATGAGTTTTTAAGTTTCCCAAATATATTAATTTATTTTGTTAACAGATACCTCCGATCCAATTGCATTACTGGTGCATAAACACTTTAAGCACCGTCTCATTGAAAAGAACATCAAATCAGGAGTCGGTGAGAAGTACGACATATTGACGTTGTTAGATTATGTGCATATAAACATGGAAAAGATGTTAGATATTTTTAACGAATTTTGTTCATTTTCCAAGAAGTACAACTTTAAACTGGATAAACAGTTTATGTAAGTAATAGATTGTTATATGCTTAAATATGGTAAGTGACAATAGTATCGATCTTCATTTATAGTTCGTACACTGAGCAATGTAACATGTCATTAAGTCGTAAATTAAATGTCATTTGTAACGCAACCGATAGTTGTATTGAATATACACCTGAAATGCAATGTGAAACTCCGTTTCATACGGGCAAGATTCGCTCAAAACAAACTATGGGAACTTGAAAACAATAGAGCAATAGTTTTCTACTACTTAGAGTCAGCGGTTCTCAATAGTTTTATTAATTATATTGTTCGTGTAAAGTTTATTGTTCAATGAAGCAGCTCAGGTTGAAGTTCTTGGCCAATTTGCCATAAATCCCTCAATGTCAACATTTAGTTTTTTTTTGTTAATTGTTACATTTTTGTTAAATTGTCAAGATGAATATTGACTCTATTGGTACCACTGGAAAGGATTTTTCAGTAGCTTTCCAACGATGTGTCACAAGTATGGGGTTGACATTTAGGATTTTTGAAGAGGGGGGGGGGTCACTCATAACTTCATTCTGGTTCCCCTCGATACCCCCGTAACGGTTTTGTGTGATTTTCAATATCTTTAGTTGGGGAAATATGGCCGACTGCAAGTTTTAAAATTAACACCCTGTATATTAATTGGTAACGTTACATGTTTACAATGTCTTTCATGCCATGTTCACTTATTCATTATGGAATACGTAATTACATTAGAAATTGTGATGAAACATGTTGAAAATATAAGAATTGAGACAATAAATGAATAAGCGAACATGCGGGGTGTTTCTTTTGTTTGTTTTAAAATGAATTTGTTTCGTTTTAGGGGAACGTTTAACATAGTCAACCTTATTTTAAATAGTAGTTGGAGATTTTATGTCGATATGTCCGAATTAGACAACATATCCAAAGACTCAATTAGGATAGAAGGAGATGGTGCAACAAATGAAGTGCATATAAGGGAAATGAAGAAATTAATGAATAGAGTATCTTGTGGTTTACCCTTTTTAAAGAAGTTTTTAAGTGATGCTTTAGCTTATACTAGTTTGTGTGGTGCGCAAGCACATGGATAATTTATTAATAAACGTTTGCAATATATTTAGACATTTAGTTAAAACGTTATTGCAATATTTGTTTCATATTTAATTTTTTGAAATATGTCTAGTGAATGTTCATTTCCTTAATAAGTTTACATTATATCAGTAAAATTAAGGTATGCTATATAAAATGAAGCAGTGTCACTTCATTCTTTTTATGAAAACAGCTACAGATTGGCGGAGTTTAATGAATGCAGTAAAGTAAGGATCTAATAGATAACATTTCGCTTGCAATTCACGATGTAAAGGTGCAAAAATTCTAAGAGTGAAAATTCGGAAAATGAGTCGAAATAAATTGCATTGCAAGAATAAACTTTGAAATTAATTGTTTGTAATGATGTGAATGCATAACGTAAATAAATAAATGTAAAGCGATGGGGTATACAAAAGGGATTTTTTTTAAATATTGATTTATGAAAAAAATGTATTCTTCATGATATTTTTTGCTTGCTTTGAAAGTACCAATAACGTTTCGATAATCTAAAATTTATGTATAGAAATCTGGTAAAATAATAAAATTAATTTTTTTTTATTGAAAGTTATCATTCTACATTATAATTAAGATAGAGTATTGCTATCAAACCACAAACAGTCGAAACGTTATTGGTACTTTTAAAGCAAGCAAAACATATTATGAAGAATAATTTTTTTTTATAAATCAATATTTAAAAAAATTCCCTCTTTTATACCCCATCGCTTTACACACTGTACATAGCATGTAGGAAAAGGTGACATATAGGTTAAAAACAAGTTTTTGGAACAATTGGTCAGGTAAGCATCAGGTAAGATTCTGAGAAAGGGTGAAATACACAGGATGTGACTAATCTTTGGTGCAATAAAATTCTTCTGTTGAGAGAGCAAGATTAAATTACATAGTGTTGTACGGCAAATTCAATGTTACGACAAAATTTGTAGAAATCTGTGAATCGCAATTCATATGTCACAAACACACAGATTTTAAACTGAAGAGTTTTTAATAGCAAAATCTTTCCCCCGAGATAGGCAGCAAATTATGGTCCCTATAGTTGAGTTGACAAGTCGAGAGCAGTTTTTTACCACCCCTGTGACTGTCTCTTCATGGCAAAGATGTTATAGTTTACAAACAAGTCAGTACACATACACACATCAAACAATCAAACAATGCAATAATTTCCACATGTTTGAAAGAACGATCAAAAATGATCTAACTTTGGGCCCAAGACCATGTAATCGAAACAAAAATGTAGCAAATATTACACCAAAAATGAACGCGATTTCAAACAAAAATGGATTGCAACGCACGATGAGTGAGGAGCGTTGTGCTAAGTGTTCCGATTTGATTATCGATTTAAAAGTGTTAATTCAGTGTACAAATTGTTCAGCATGTTATCATGCTGCATGTGTGTGTATCACGGATTTAAGAGGGTTTCATGCAAAACGTTCCACATGGAGATGTTCTAAGTGTATTCCTACTGAAATTCCTGAAGGCGATGGCTATCAGAGAAAACGGTTGCGCAGTGACAATGGTGATTCCGTAATTGTTGATCGATATGTCTTAATGGAATTAGTAGAAGCTGTCAAAAAACAGAACGTATTGGTCGTCGATTTGAAAAACGAATTAGTTGAAATTCGTAAGGAAAACAAGACTCTTATCAACAAGGTCGCCGCGTTAGAAGATATAGTGTCAAATAATAACAAACAACAAATGTCATTTGCCAATATTACTAAAGGCATTAATCGCAATACGCCAGTCAAATCTTCAACACGTGCTACTACTGCTACTAAACATTCAACAGCTATCCCGTCAACATCGCAGGAGCAGGTCCATAATGCCGTTACGAATGCCATAGATAATTTAGATAAGCCGAAGACTGATGACTTTCAAGTAGTAACGTCCCGCCGGAGGAGATTTCAAAAGCCTCTTTTTTATTGGGGAAATGGACTCCGGGAATGTTAATGGCGGTTCCGATTCCAATACCTTCGAAGGATCAGAGAGACGTCAATGGGTGTATGTAGGCAGAGTTAGAAGTGGTACTTCCTCGGATACCATTACTGATTTTGTTAAATCGAAATGGAATCTTACCGATGTTGTCTCTTCTCTACTAGTTGATAATAAAGACACCTGCTCTTTTAAAGTTGGTGTAAGGGAATCGCACTTGAAAAGTTTGCTGGATGCGAGCAAGTGGCCCAAGGTGAATTTGTTTTCATTGCTAGAAGAGGTATCAATTCTACTGCCGTAAATTTTTCAAGGGCGGTGGGGCCGGTGTCAGAAGGATAACTAATGACTCTGCATTTATGGATATTTATTATCAAAATGTTAGAGGCCTAAAGACTAAGGTGAAATCGGTTTATTGTAATTCATTATCCATCGATTTCGACGTTATTGCTTTAACGGAAACGTGGTTAACTCCTGAAATTGCTTCCGGTGAACTATTCGATGCAAATATATTTACTGTATACCGCAAAGATAGGTCGCCCGTAACGAGTGTCAAAGTTCGTGGTGGTGGTGTGCTTATCGCAATCAAATCAACATTCAAATCGCTTCCTCTGAATGTACATCAAGTTTCCATCGTAGAAGAAATTTGGGCAATAATCGATTTAAGTCCTCAGGGGACCATTCTTGTTTGCTGCACCTATATCCCGCCCAACTCTGATGTTGCTGTCTATGAATCCCACATAACGTCTGTGGAATCAGCTCTTGATAAATTCCCGGAAGCCAGAGTTATACTGTTAGGAGATTATAACCTGACTAATACCACTTGGGATAGCGACGAGGAAGATGGACACCTTACTGCTTTTTGTAATCGCAACCGCATTTCAGAGCTTATATGTGACGCATTCAACCTGTTCGGCTTCCATCAATTCAACTCAATCAACAACCGGGTGAATGACAATATCCTTGATCTAGTCTTTTCTAACTGTGATACTTCCGTTTCTAACTGTGATATTAATTTAGTTAACTGTGATTCCTACCACCCAGCACTTAGTGTAGCGCTTCACACCCACCAAGGTTTCTTCAAGTGTGATGACTCGAATCAACAACCAGTCTACAAATTCAATTTCTCGAAGGCTCCTTATGATCAAATCAATGACTACATTCGTTCCGTGGACTGGCATTCACTATTTTTCAATGGAGATTTGGAATCAAATGTTGAAAACTTTTACACAGTCATCTACGACATTTTAAATGTATGTGTTCCAAAAATTAAATGTTTTAAATCAACGTACCCGCCATGGTTTAGTAGTAAACTACATAAGCTGATTAGGGATAAGAAGCTTGCCCACAAAACATATAAAGCATCTAAGAGCAACATCGATTATCAAGTTTTTACCGAGTTGCGAACTCAGTGTAAATCCTTGACCACACAGTGCTATGACACCTTTATTAAAACCTGTGAAGAAAATGTTACTTTAAATCCGAAGTCGTTCTGGAAATTTTATCATAATATGAACAAAACTTC